CTGCTAACTATACCAGGACTTGTTCCTTTACAGTTGGCCAAAAAGTGACTTGCTATTATGACCACAAGGAGATGAAGAGCTCAGACCGCAAAACTCAGAAAGGTCTTTGTTATAGCAGAAGGACAAGCAGACAGCACAGGGCTATCTTATTCTCAGGCCAGAACTCATTCTATCTGATGATTTCACAAGCTTTTGAGACTTGACATCAGCTGAGTGACTTGTGTCTGGTTATCCAGTCATCTTGCCTGGATCTTCCTCAAGCCCAGCATCTCAACTTGCTGCTTCAAAGACATCTAAGACAATAGACAATTTGAAGACAGATTTTGTGTAAGATATCAGAGCTTGTGCAGTTACCTCAGAAAATCCAGTACCCAACAGAAAGCTGGCAACCCACCCTGTTGAGCAGGGATTCTCCCCCCACCTTCCACAGCCCCTTTTGCTATTTTCCTGTGCTGTTTTCCTGAGGAGCAAGCACTGTCACTTCAGCAGCTGTCAATAATCTACCTCTTCTCTCAGTGAACCCACTCCTGCCCAAGCTCCACAGAAAGCTGTTTCTTTGCCTTTACCTCCCCAGGGCAGCCTAACATCAGCACCACCAACACCAAGGCTAAGTGCTTTCCTTGCCAAAGGGTACTGCCATCTACTTTCAGGAGTCCACTTAAATAATCTGGAGTCAAGCTCTAGAACTGAGTATGTTCAAGGATTGCTCTTATACAAAATATGCCAGGGCAGAAAGAGGCAGTTTTGGTCTCTTGGGTTGGTCTCTTTCACCAGGCAGCAACTGACAGAACGGGAGGACACAGTCTCAAGCTGCACCAAGGGAAATGTAGGTTGGATATTTGGAAAAAGTTTTTTTACAGAAAGGGTAATAAAGTATTGGAGTGATCTGCCCATGGTGGTGTCACCATCCCTGGATGTGTTTAAAAAAAAGACTGGGTGTGGCACTCGGTGCTGTGGTCCAGTTTTTGGTGTTAGGGCATGGGTTGGACACGATGATCTTGGAGGTCTCTTCCAACCCAGTGATTCTGTGAATTCTGTTGCTGTTGAATCTTTCCCCTGGGCCAGGAGGCCAGGCAATAAGCCAGGTACTGCCAGGGTGCTATTAATTCCAAATTCCTCTAGTTGTCTACATTTATACACCTCTATGCACCTATAAAAAATTTTGTCTCAGCATGCATGTAGATTGTCTGTACTTCCAACAAATAGTTGGTTTTCTCTGATTATGCCATCACCCAGGCATGCTATTTTGCAGGCCTAGTGAATAATTGTTCTTAGTAATACTTTCCACAGCTGTTTTGTGCTCCACAGCCAGCAGAGGTTCTTGCCCTAATGTCCAAACCCAAAAAGCTGAACTTCCCAGGAGGCATGTTTTACCACCACATGAAAAAAGCTGTGAGCTAGAAGCCAAAAGGGCATCAGTAGAGAAATGCAACCTGACACCCGTAACTACAACAGAAATGTGAATCTTGTACTCAAGCCTGTTGCACTGTACAGGAGATACAGACATCCACACACCCAAAAATGCCATAGAAATTGTATTGAAGAAGCAGAGAGCATGGGGACCATAAGATATTTTACCAGCTGACTTACTGCTGCAAGACAGTGGCTTGCAGTAAGTGCTAGACAATTTCAGAGCAATGCCTTCACCTCTTTTCCAGGAGAGGAGGGACAGCTGCACCAGCAGAAGTGGACACTTGACTACTTCTGCTCTAGAGAAGCTTATGGCTTAAAGAATGCTATACAACCACTGTAAAACTGTGTGAGGAAAATCATATGCTGCCTAAGTATGTGCTATCTTGCTCAACCTACTAGCCATCCTCCCCATGAGTAATAGACTTTTTACACACTTTTAATAAAGGAAAGGGAAAAAAAAAAATAGGAATGCAACAAACTTTCAAGATGAATGAGAAGTAGGGCCCAGGGTCTATGAAAGAAAAGGAAATTTAAGTACAGGGTGATGTAACGGAACTGTAGCAAGACATGAGCAAGTGACTGTAAGAAATGCTGACTCCTGTGACATTTGCTTGTTATCGAAGCAATTTGTCCAAGTTTCATCTCAGTTTTTTCATTTAGTAATAGAAATGTCACTCCTCTCCTGATGACTGGGATTTGAGTAAAAAATCTGGGACACACATATATATTTATCAGTGTGCTATCCTGGGTTTGGCTGGGGAGATGGAGTTAATTTTCTTCTCAGGAGCTGGTACAGCATTCTGATTTTAGTATGAGAATAATGTTGATAACACACCGATGTTGCAGGTTTTGCTCAGTTTTCTTCCCCAAAGTCAAGAACTTGTTGGTGTCTCATGCTCTGGCACTGAGCAGGCACACGAGAATCGATGAAGGTGCACGGCCTGGATGACTGACCCGAACTGCCAAAGGGACATTCCACACCACAGAATCTCAAGCCCAGTGGCTTTGATTGATCTTTTCTGGGGAAGGAGCTGGGTATTGGAGAGTGGGTGGTAAGCAATTGTATTGTACATCACTTCTCTCTCTTCAGTTTCATTCCTCTGTCTCTCTCCTTTTCATTGCTACAACATTACAACTATTACAGAATAGCTGTTGGTGTTGTTACTACTAATACATTTTATTTTGTTTCAATTATTAAACTGTTCTTACCTGAACCAAGTTTTATGCGGTTTTTTCTGATTCTTCTCTCCACTGTGGAGAGGGTGGGGGCATGAGCAGCTGCATGGTACATACTTGCCAGCTGGGGTTAAACTTTGACGTGTGTGTACATGTGAATATCAATATATATTTAGAAATACAAATGCTTGGTATATGTTCAGGATTTTAATTTTTTTCACTTATTTTTTTTCTTAAAAAGGTCAAGAGGTACCAGTCTGTCAGAGGGCTTTGGTTTTCTGGTCTTTTTTATTAGGAGATGAATAAAGACAAGTGATTGCCCAGAAAAAGATTTCAGATGTAAAACTGGACAATGGTAGGCACACACATTGTCAAGCAGAAAAAATATTTAGGTGGGACTAGTTCCAGTATCTGATATTGGTTCAGTATATAGATTCTTGAACTTTCTTTCATCTGTGATCTGAGTTTATACCAGCAGCTCAAAAAACAAAACAAATCAGATTTTTAAAAACAAAGGAAGTCCTGCTTAAGTAAAACTGCTTCTAACATTCAATGTTCAACAAAGCCAAAGAAGGAAACAGTGGTGAAAGATAGAAATTATGAAGAGTATCTCTCCATTTATTCCAGCTAAAAGCTGCTTAACTTGGTCTGGCTGCTAAACAGATTTACAAGCTGATTCAGCTCAAGCAAGTTAAAACTCCCTCTAATGGCAACTGGATAAAGAGCAGACTGAAAAAATTAAAAGCATCTCACTGCATTTGAAACCTATTTTTCACTAAGAAAATATTGGTATGAATTCTTTTGAAAAGTGAAACTTTAGCCAGTGCCCAAGATTCTTTTAAATAACAACTTTTTTTACATTCCTGACATAAAGTTTTTGTGAGCTTTGTAAGATGTGCTATGCAAAAATTTACACACTATGAAAAATGTGTTTTCTCTAACCTGTCTGCTGCTTTAACAAACTGGCTTAGAAAAACACTCAGGACAGATGACTCCTCCTGTACACAGAAAGGGTCCTGGTTTTCTGTAACACCACTCCCAACAGTAACACTAAACACTTAGATGACTTAGTCACATAACCTGGAATTTACAAGCAAAATAAGCACTTAACCAGCGCAGGGAGTGTAATAAAATTAGAAAAAAATTACATTCTGCTCAAAAATACCGAACAGAAATTGTCCCTAGAAAATTATGAAAATTAAGAACAAACATAAACACTTTTCAATCGATGAGCACTGTATGCAGGATTAAAATGTTAAGGAAGGAAAGTAATTAAGGGATTACCCGTTAGCACTAGTTAGATGTGCTGGCAGCAACATAAAGGGAAAAACTTACAAAGTCACCAATTTAGAAAGCTTCAACCTCTGTTATAATGGGATCTAGCAATGCTTTTTTTCCCATAACCCGGAGGCAATTTCAGTTCTCAGATAATTTCTGCTGGATATTCTCCTTTATTTCTACCTTTATTTTCTATCCCTACACACAGATACGGGATTAAAAAAACTGAGAGACCACTATTTGTTTTCTTGTTAGCAGTAATGATTCTGTGCATCATTTTTACAGCCTGAAGGTAATTTCAATTATTACAAAACAAGAATCTCAGGCTCTTGCCGGTCAAAAGTGAAATGTTCTCAGAAGGGAAATATTCATGGGGATAGAAATTCAAAGTAAAGTGAATTGAACATTAAAAAAAAAAGAAAAACTAATTGTAAAAAGTAGACATTTTATTCAAAAACTGCATTTCAAAAAATGCTGACTTATTTATCAAAAGCTCATTAGAGTCATTCCCCTCAAAAACCAACCTAGTAACTCTCCCACTTTAGTAACAGAAGTTTTACAGAAAGGTGTGGAATAGACTAGTCTTTTGTGCTAGCCTGCTCTCCCCCTTCAGAATAAGAAAGGTATATGGAATCAGATCCAAACCTCACTTACATATATAAAAAGTCTTGTGAATTCACACTAGCCTACATGAACTGTTGTTACTTCTTGTAGTTACTGGAGGTTCACAGGAGAAATGACTGCTTACTCCAGCAACTTAAGTAGAAAGTACATTTATAACGGCAGATAAAATAAAAAGTGTATTTTGAAAGTAGGCCATACTTGCCTGCAAGATGCTAGAGACACGAGAAAGATCACTCCATGCTTGCAAGTAAACTCATTTTATTTAATGATTTGAAGGGCTGCTTAAAATAAAAACACTTTACAATCTGTACATGCAGTTTCAATTTTAAAAAATTAAATCTGTTTTTCAGAAAACATGCATATATATGTACATCATTTTGAAATAAAAGAAAGCATTACCATTTACTGCAGAAATTCATCTTTAAAAAGCTTTTAAGAGATAAGACAGGCAGGAGCAATTCTGCAGAAAGCAAAGCTTAGAGACTCCCTACTCTGACGGTAAAGTTTATTCATTCAAAGACATTAGTAACAGCAGAAGAAGGTCGTTTAAGGATGGATTCAACTGAAAATGACAGTGGCTCAGATGTTGGAAGTTTTGTTGTGGCCTGTTTTGCCCCAGAAAAGTCTTTTGCACATTTATCTACAGTAAACTTGTATTTTTGGTTCTCTTTAACAGCACACTCCCTGTATTTCTTAGAAGCATCCTCAAAAGTCTCCTTCACAAATGACATTCTTAACTCTGCTGTTGGAGTGTCAGGAAATGTCTGGTGGAACAGTGACTGAAATGCACTGTACTTGAGCGGTGGAGAGGGTTTGGTGCTGTTTTTGCTGATCTTGCTTAATGCCTGTTCCTGAGGAGACAAAGAACCCTTATCAGAAATTTGGGAGAAAGTTCTCTTTGGAGGAGAGAAAGCTGACCTCTCACGAGCTTCCTGATGAAGGCACAGTATTTCATTACGTGACTGCTGAATGTCTCGCGCGTGAGTCAGAACAAATGAATTTTCCACTTTCGGAGGCATGATGTCATGCTCAGTGTTTGGACAGTCCTGACTTTGTGAGACCTTGGCATCCCAACCTGTTCCAGGTTTGAGAGCTTGGACAGCAGTAGCATTTAACAGGCACTGCTGGTAGAGGAGAGCGTCACTAATGGGGCCACATTTTGGCCACACTAAGAACCTAGAAGGCAGGGGATACTGCCTGTAGGTAGTAGCTACACTGACATTCGAAGAAATTAGTTCCATGTTGCTAGGTCCTGAATACTGCATCGTTAGATCAAGGCAGGTTGGTAAAAAACTGGAAAATTCCTTGTTTGGATTATCAACTTGAGTAGTGTTGAAGGCTGTTTTATATGAATTGTATTCAGCTCCACGCACCATACGGTTAGGGAGAAAAAGGGCAGCTGCTTGTGTAGCTTCCATCATATCTCTCTCTTTATACTCTCTCTCTAGCATAATGTTTTCCAACTCCTTATCAGCAAAAGCCCGTCTCTTTCTCATCCTGTCACTTACAGGAGGTGGCAAGGGTGAATTCCCTCCCAGGTAAGAGTCTGTTGGAATAGGACGGTAACCTAAAACAACAAAGCAGCATTAGGAATTAAGCCACTTCATAAAAACATTAAAGCTGTGCTTGTACAACAGCTCCCTGAGCCAGTCCCGCCAAGCACTGTGCTCTTGCCACAGACCCTGGTCACCATCAGCTCCCCCACCATGAGACAAAGGCTGAGCAGCCGGGCACATTCAGCCCCTCACTGCAGATAAGCAAGCCCAGCTTTTTTGACATGTGTAGTATCCCTCAAAGCCAATTAATTGGTAGCTTTTTTAGAAGTAGTTCCAGACAAACAGATCGAGGAAGAAGAAGAAAAAAAAAAAATAAAAAAAAAAAAAAAAGGAAAGCCCAACTGCGTGTTATGACTGGTATTCCATCATGAGTCTTAAGGAGAAAGATAACCATTCATTTTTAATGACAATTTTTTTTCCCACATATGGAAAGCATTCAATTATTTTATTTCTTCTGAACTAGAACTTCAATAAAACATAGAAATTCAGTTTCCAGCACATTCAATTACCAAGCTCTTTGGCTTAATTTAATATAACAGATAGGGTCCAATCCTGTTTGCTCTACCCAGACAAGTAATTCCATTGAATTAATGAAACTATTTACATGAGTCAGGAGAACAGGATTTTTCCTGTTTGCACCCCCATTCCTCTCATACACCTTTCCCCTTTTCAAAGGAAGATACCTATATCTACAGCTGGTGTCTTTTCTATTTTCTAAAGATGAATCACTATGTACACATTGCTAGAGATGGTAGAAAATTCCAAGGAGAACTAGGAGAAAAGAAGAAGACAGTTAAGATAGATTAGAGGAAAGAATACAGAATAGTTTTCAAAAGAAATAACTGTAGACGCAAATTAGAGGTTTCTAAAAGGACTAAATATTAATTGAGCTTGAATACACAAAGAAAAAAGCTTTCTATTTCAGAAAAAAAATTTAATTGAGAAGTACAGTGATTTATAGGGATATGGTTTGGAAAGTAATTAAAGCAAACATAGGAATAAATATGTGCACAATCCCAAACGGATGTGGGGAAAGAAATACACCCTTTCACTAAAATACCGATCTCTAAAATATCATTCTTCCATAGTTAATATTTTCGACAGTGTAAAAAATTAATCACCTTATTTTGCAGAGCTTACTACTGATAACGCCACAAACCGCATTGCTGTGTTAGGCATTCAGATTAAAAAAAAAAATTACTCAACTTACTCGTTTGCTGATTAACACACCCGCGAATAAACTACCCTGTGAATAAATTACCCTGTGCTGCAAAACGCTGCTGGGCAGCCGTGTAAAAAGACTGCCAGCTTGTAACAGTAACTCTCAAATTTCAAACTACCTTTGCTAGCATTTCAGGCATTATTCTGGACGGAGGGGGCAAGGAACTGAATTTCTGCCACACCGATTCCAGCCTCGAAGGGCTGGAGCCTCCGTCGCCCGCCCGCCGCTGGCAGCGGGGAGCGCTTTAACGCCGATTTCGGGCAATTTCGCTGCACTTCACGGGGCGCCTCGGATGGGAGGTGCGGGGATTTCCCCGCTGCCAGGGGGCTGGGGGAAGCCGTGGAGGGGCAGAGGATGCTCTTACCTTCCAGGATGCTCTTGGCCAAGAGGCTGGGCGTTCGGACGTGCCTCTGGTAGACGGCTTTGCGCTCCAGACTTGCCTGCTTCCCCGTCAGCCCCTTCTTGTCCTAAGAGAGTGATGGGATAGCGCTGTCAGACCGGGGCCGCCCGTGCCGCCCGGTCCCGTCCCGCCCCGTGCCGTGCCCGCTCACCTCGGTGGCCTGCTGCCGTCGGAGCGCCACCTGGGCGGCCATGACGCGCTGCCGCTCCACCACCAGCAGGCAATTGGCGCACTGGCAGTCGCGCCAGCGGCAGAACCGCTTGTGTCCCTTCAGGCACGACACCACGCCGTGATTGCGGCACCGGGCACACTTGGGAGTGCGGCTCAGCTTCCGCGGTTCGCCCCGCCGCGGAGCCGCCGCCGCCGCCTCCTCGCCTTCCTCCTCCTCCTCTTCCTCCTCCGGGCCGGTGCTGCCGCGCAGAGCACCGGGTGCCTCGTCCGGCTCCCCTTCCAGGCTCTCCACGTCGATCTCCCAGTCGGCGCCGGCGCGTTCTTCAGCCATGGCTCCTCAGCGGCGCAGCTACAAGAGAGGGGTCAGGCCTCCCGCCCCCGCGCAGAACGGCAGCCGGAGCACGCCCGGCTTCCGAGGTGCCCGCCTGCAGCCCCGCCGAGCTGCGCCCGAGTCGGGAAGTCACGGCAGAGCCCGTCTGGCATGTCGTCTTTCCCCTTGGCGTCAACTCCGCTCTCTTGCGAACGAGCCACGCGGGACCCAGTTTAGCCACGACGGACGCCTCCCTCTCCCCCTCCCTCCTTCCCACCCCGGCTTATGGGGAATTGTGACAGCCCGCCGAGGCAGGAGCGCATCTCCTGCAGCGAAGGATGCGGGAGGAGCCGTCCCAGGGCAGTGCCCCGCGCTGTCCGGTCTTAACAGGGTCCTGCTTATTACAGGATCCCGAGAACCCTCCTGCCAGCTGCGTTCAAACTTGGGAAACAGGCAGAGGACAGCTGGACTTCACACATCGCCGCTGTCCACCCCAGCAAGCAAAGGCAGTATGAGCTCCTAGAGCTACCGGCGGAGGCTGCATATTCAGACCTACACCTGCTCCCACACGACCTCCCTGTCCTTGCTTCTGCACACCGCACTTACCAAAGGCAGATGGTGCAGGAAGCACGCAACCCCTCAGCTCCTCGCAGTTCGCAAGGCGCCGCTGCCCCAGACCGCCCGGAGACAAGGAACCCCCGATCCCCGCACCTGGGGCTTAAGGCTCCGCGACAGCCGAGACCCTGCGCCGTCGGGGGGATGGCCGGGTGGCGGGGCGGCCGTGCTGCGTGGCTGTGGATGCGCGCTGGCCGGACCGGCGATGGGGATGGTACGGAGTAGCGCCCGCCGCGCCGCCCGTCGCGGTCTCAGCGCCCGCCGCGCCGCCCGCCGCGATATCAGCGCCCGCCGCGCCGCCCATTGGGCGCCCGCCGGACAGCCGCCGCTCCGATTGGTCCGCGCCGCCCAGCCCCGCCCCCTGCGCGTGTGCCCGCCGGCCGCTCGTGGGTGCGGGCGCGGAGTGGAGGCGGGAGTGGGCGATGGGTGGTGGTGAGCTTTTATTCCGGGGAGAAAAAGGACTGCGAGAACAGACGGTAGCGCTCGTGATGGTGACAGCTAAGAAACCCGCTCTGCAGGCGAGCGGCGTCCTTCTGCCTGAGGAGCGGGCCGGGGATGAGGGTTTAAAAACCTCGAACAGCCACAGTATTTTTCGTTTGCGGTCGTTCCCGTTACTTGACCCGCTAGTGGAAGCTACGCGTGGCAATGGTCTTTTTTTCCCGAGTCGGAAAACGCGGTGAGAACCTTTCGGGTATTAAGGCGAGGAAAAATACTCGTCTATTTTTTAGCATTCCCTCCTTTCAGAAGGAACGTTTTCCACCGACACTGAGGTTTTCCCCCTAAATAACTTTATTTTATAACCTTGTTCCCGCCCCTCCCTGACCGAGGCTGCTCTTAGGGAGCTGGGTAATGTCCGTGGTTTCCCCAATCAGAGAGCGATCGAAATTGTGACCCACAAAGCCACAGTGGTGCTATGGAGACGCTAGACTTCAGTGCTTCCGCCACTGAAAACAGGAATTCCTAGGAAGCAGAAAAGGACAGAGTACAGCTCGGCCGCGTTCAGCACCGGGCAGGGGAAAACTGGTGCATTTAAACGGATTTTGCCCAGGAAGGAAAAGAACAAACGCATGCGGGAGAACATTAGTTTCCCACCAGCGTGTACTGATCGAAATCTAACGATATGCAGAACATACGGCTGAAACTAGTTTCCTAAAAGGGGAAAATACTTTGCTCTTTCCCTGAGAAGCGCATGTGTGTAATAAATACTGACAGTATTCGTGTGTACAATAAACACGGACATCCACTCACGATAAGCATACGGACCAGCTGCCGGCCGCCGGTTCGGCACGGATAAACCCTGCCCTTGCAGGCCTTCGGAACAAAGGCCACCGGGCGAGTGGCGCAGACGGGCGGCTGCATGAGCCTGCGGGGACCCGGCGCCCGGAGCTCCCAGCTCCGGTGCAGCCCGGACAGGGCACCCCAGCCTTTCCCTTCGCCCCGCGGGCTGCGGGCACCCGCAAGGAAGGAGGGAGGGCTTGTCCCCAGGGAGGTTTGTCCTCCTCGGGCGGCACCGTCGGGAGAGCGGGGACAAGGAAGCGCATCCCCCGACGGCAGGTATTATTCATCTCAAAAGAGAACCCGGCTACTGTTTGACTTACAAGCATGACTAAAAGGCAAATACCCAAGGAATTCCACTTTCCCCCTTGGGATCCCTCTTAAAAGGCACAAGCATGACAAAGGACCTGCTAGGTTAGGAAACAGAAGTCGCCTTTGTCTGTAAACCGACACCAAATTACAAAGTACGATTCTGCGGTCCGCTGGAGTAAATTACAAAACAGTTCGCCTCCTGTTTACTTTATCCACAGGGAGCTGTGAAACCCAGCCACGATTTTAAAGCGTGTTTGTGTAACTTTCTTCTGCTCCTGTTGTTTGCGCTCTGCTCCGCAGCGCTTTTGAGTTCCCCTTCAGGCACTCGTCTCTCTCCCGTTTGGAAGTAGAGGTGTCTCTGCCGTCCTCTGGAGGGACGCACCCGCGGGAGAAGTCAGAAAGCGATCTACAGCACTGTCTCTCGCACTCAGTCCTCCGCTTTGGTCCGCGGTGTCAGCCGGCTGTGAGCTGGCACGGGCAGATGCGCGCAGTGCCGTGCTGGGAAAGGTGCTGATTTCCACTCGAGAGGACCCTTTGAAGCCCGCGATGCTCAGCTGTGCATCCACCTGCCCCGCATAGCCTTCCCAGCACAGCTGCCTGCTGGTGCCTGCGGGGCCCGGGCCCGAGACCCACGGCCAGGGCTGCTGAGGTGCTCCGGGGCTCCTTCAGCGCCTCCGCCGCGCCCTCTCGCCATTCCCTCACCCGCCCCGCGCTGCCCAAGTCGGGGTACGGGTGTGCCAGACCCCGCTGGGGGCCGTGGATGGGTCCTCAGGCCTCGCAGGCGGCGGCGGGAGCTGTACCTCTTTCAGCAATGCCCTTTCCCGAGGGGCGGAGGATCAGCCCCGGGGCTCTGCACGCTCGCCTCGCCCGAAGGCTAGCGGCTAGCGGCCTCGGGGCGCCCAGCGCTCGATCCTGCATTGCATCGTGGCTCTGCGGGCAGGTGCAGCTGCAAGTGCCGCAGTCCCCCGCGCCTGGCCTCCCCAGCCCTCCCTTCCCCCGGAGAAATTTATTAGCGAGGTTAGGGCAGGCTAACCAAACGGCAACTCCGGGCGCAATTTCCCCGGAGGAATGCTTTGATCCTGCCCTCTCTCCGCGCCGTCGAGGGCAGATTGTAATGACAAACGCGGGCGACCCCAGCCGCTTGTTAGGTCAGAGATGTTCCCGTTTAATCTGAAACAAATTGCCCCTGTCCGCGCCCCGCCCGCCGGACCCTTCCTTGCCCTGTCCGGGTCCCGGTGCCCGGGCGGGGCTCCCGCCGTGCCTGCGCCGGCAGCGCCCTTATCCAGCCCAGGACCGGCCCGGACCGAAGCGGTTCTCCTCCGCGACTTACCGCACATTTGCTACAGCGAACTTGTAGACATTTCGAGGGTGATCTCCCCTGGGGGAAGTAGGGGAGTGGGAGAGGGAAAAAGATTAAAAAAAAAAAACAAAACCCAACAAACTCAAACCAAAAACAACACAAACAACAACAAAAAACACCCACAAGGATATGGCCTTTTCCCGTGTTATCCAATCTGTAAAAGCGTCCTTTCTTTTGCAATTTTTTTTATAATTAAAGTGTGGATTTTACATATATGTATATAAGATTCCCTCTGTCTCTCTTGTAAATAACATTGAAGTAAAACTTAGCATTAAAATAAACCTGGGTAATGTTTTTATTCATTACATTTATTCATTACCTTTCTAAATTGATTGTACCTTGGAACGTTTTAAACAAGCAAGTTTTTCAGTTTGGGTTTGGGGTTTCTTGGGTTTTTTTTGGGTTTTGTTTTTAGGTGTTTGGGGGTTTTTTTTGATGTTCTGTTTCAAACGACCGTTTAATTGCTGCCTAACAGATATGTAGGTACAGAGCCAGAGGAGGGATTTTCTCTTATTCCTATATGCCAATCAAATAAATATAATAAATACATATTATAAGGAGGTAAGAAATATTGAGGTAACATATTCGCTATAGAACGATATGGAAGAAAATTTTATTGAGCAATTTTATTGAGTAACACCACTGCCTTTGTAAGAATGTTTGCTTTGGCAAGGAGGACAAGGGTTAGCCTCTTTATAGGAAGAATTGCTTATCGTACCAGGGTAATCTTCTGTCCTACTAAACTGGAATGATATCCAAAGCAGTTTGGGTGAACAGAGCAGAACTCTTCTGACACGGTTAGTTGGAAGTCTGACAGCAGTCCAGAGTCTTCAATAGAAGGATTCACTTGTACATGGACAGCTTTGGATTGAGCACAGGGTAAAACAGTTTCCCATTTACAATCCTCCTCACCCTGGCAGCTGAAGGGATGAGCTCCCAGGAAGGGAGAGGAATAAACTGTGAAAGAAGCAGTTTAGCCCTCTGTAGCTGGAGGCTCTGCCCGCTCACTGGGAATGTACCAAGGGGGCACAATTTGGCCCATGCCTCTGCAAACAGGACCACACAGTCCTGGCGGTCATTTGATGAAGCAAGAAGATGCACATCGCAGTGAAGCAGGACTGCCTCTTCTGCAGCCTCCAGATTCGTGGCCAGGGGATATGAGGGCAGACCTAGAGTGACTTTAAGTCAAAACTAGTCCAAACCTGTCCAAAACATCCAATCCTGTGCTAAAATTTTGAATTAAAAAAAAAAAAAAAA